GCGGGGCAGACAAAGAATCGGGACCCGACATTGCCTTGTTATATAATTATTTCGTAAAATAATCGACCGAGAAAATACATTTCGCGTGAGAGATAACGTTTAACTTTTTAAAAGGACTCTTCGTTTCTAAGAAAATTAATAAATTAATTTTTCCACTGTACAATATTAATTGAATATACATGTGCAATGTCAATTAAATAAATTAGACGCTGGGAACGTTACTCATTAAGTACAAGAGGATATCAGAGATAACGTTTAACTTTTTAAAGAGGACTCGTGTCGTTTTTAAGAAAATTAGTAAATTAATTTTTCCACTTGTTACACATGTAGAATATTAACTGAATATATTAGACGGAGGGAACGTTACCGATTAAGAGGGTATCATGAAATACACGGAATTCTGAAATAATAATTTCCGCTACAAGTCCGTACACAAAACTTACGTTGCACTCCGACGACACGCAAGGTCAGTAATTATCTGCCGCGTTATCGCTTGCGTAAATCGCGTGGTTTCATTGCAAGCCCCACGATTTCACGGGAGTAGTAATTTATCCAAGAATTCATCGCACCTACGGCCAATTGGGTTTAATTCATTGTACGTGGATTTAATACAACTTTAATAGTAATACTCTGTATGTGGCAATAACGTGTATCAACGGCATTAATCGTTTCTCGGCGTCACTAGTCGCCAACTCAGTCTCATAATCACGAGAATAATAGTAATATTAGGAAGTCTTTGTTACTTAATAAGATAAATGAGCTGCTAGGAGATGATAATACTACGGAGAATTGGATGAGGGCCGCAGTAATTTATGGATGATCGCACGGCGCCTATTGCCCACAGAATTTCGTTCGTGAAGCGAACGTTGAGAAACTTTCGTTTACTTCAATGAACTAATTTCCATCTAGACAAAACAATATTCAAAACGCACACGTTGTTTACAGAAATGCAGAATAAAATATATAATATATTGAGTTTTGATAATTTAATAAATAAGAGGGGATTCTTGTTAACTGAAGCGGCTAAAATACCGCGAGATATTAAAATCGATTCTTGACAAATTGCTGCAACATTGAAATTAATTTGTGCCGTTTCACGGTTCTTGTGGGTGCTGTCCGTGACCTGTTGGCATCTATCTGCGCAGGGAGAAACTTCGGTTTTTATAATCCCCTATCCGGCGAATCGCGATATAAGATTGAACGGGTTTACTGCGGATTTTAATAACTTTGCCGATCGGTCTGATAGTTCGCGGGCAGGAGTACGGATTTAAAAAAAATGTAATGGCGTATCGTTTTACGAGCTTCTTAACAGTCATACGTTTTTAATATCCCCTGAAATCCCTCTCTTACCTTCTGGAGACCAGAACTCGTGCGGCACACGCACTTATTTACGCAAGGATTACTTTAATGTTTATGGTCCAGAGAATTGTCCGCGAATTTTTCCTTCGCTGTAATGGACCGCGCGAAAATTTCCGCGGCGTAAAGAGAGCATTACGACAAGCGGAAATAACACGCTTTTCTGTTACAAAGGCGAGGTTAGTGATCGCAATTAAAATACAATTACCAGTTATTAAGATATGAACGAAAGAACTGATTATCTTGACGGCTAATTGTCTATATAATATCGTTGAACTTGTAATTGTTTATGATAAAATTGTACAATAGCACCAAAATTCACATTTATTTTTACGTAATATGATGTCAAATAGCCCCAGGATAAATTGAAAATTTTTTTTAATATTTCCAAGTTTAATTAGCTGAAATTGTGATCTTCGATTTCGATTTTTATATAAGATTGAGAATTTTGCAGAAGAAAAAAACTTGGTATCTAAGACCCGAAGATCGTTACAGCTTTTCCGCGAAGCCAAATGAACAAATCTGTTCTTTAGATAGTGGTAGGTTAAAAAGGGCAAGCAACGGAGAACGGAAAAGGCGACAATTTATATAGTAATTTGTGTGTATGACTTGAATAACTACCTACGTAATATAACGTGGCTGAGGCGGGAGAGCGACGGCGGTAAGCAGACGACGCCCTCCGCGATGGAGCTTTAATTAAAATTACGTACGTTTGCCTCTCGGAACGTGCACACGTTACTCTCTCGCCTTCTCCTCGCTTCTATTTTATATTTTTATGAGCTTTTCATTAAGGACGCGCGTGTATGCGCGCGTGTGTCTGAGCACGGATGCCACTTGTGTCGTACGCAGCGTATTCTCGGAGGAGCGGGAGCATGTCTTTGAAAGAGCATCCGTGACGGCGGCTTAAATTGGTCCTTTTTCTTCCCTCCTCCGTCCTGTTGGCGAATCCTCATTTGCGGAATTCGTATGAAGGAATTTCTATCGCGCGCTCGTAGGTCGTCGATTGTCGCGAATAACGAATCGCCCCTGTGGAGACGCCGCAACGCGAGCTTGTAACAAGCATCTCTTTTGCGCGGGATGCGTGGGGCTGTGATAAATGAGCGAAGGACCGTAGAAAGGAATGGGAAGAGGGAAATTGGGAAATTATTTGCACCTGTGTGATGTGAAGGAATGCAGTTCCTGAGTGCTTGAGGGGAAATTATGAGACGTACGTTGAATATCTTTTCACTGCGCGGAGAGAGAGAGAGAGAGTGTACGCGCGGTATCCGTATAAGGACGCAAATATTTTTCCTGCCGTTCAGAGAAGCTCCTCTGTAACGCGATAATCAGAAACTACTATATTTGCACGAGCATAAAGTTCAAATTTTTAGCCATAAAGAACAAACCAATTTCGGACAATGAACTATTAATTTCATTGGACGTCAATGCCTTATTCACCAACATCCCTAAAGATTTAGTGTTCAAGGCTATTGAGAAACGATGGCAGAAAATCTCTGAAGCGACTTTTTTCACCCTAACACAATTTTTATACGCAATGGAGACAGTTCTGGACTCCACCAGTTTCAGTTTCAATGGAGTTATTTACGAACAGATTTTTGGCAGTCCAATGGGATCCCCCCTTTCACCAATTCTAGCGGACATTGTGCTTGATGATTTGGAATCACAATGTTTGCTATCGCTAGGCTTCGATCTACCTCCATATTACAGATACGTGGACGATGTTCTCACTATCATACCTGATGACAAGATTGACTTGGTTCTCACCATATTTAACTCTTATCACCCTCGACTCAAATTTACATATGAAATAGAAAATGACAAATCCATCAATTTTTTAGACACTTCAATTATTAGACAAAACGATAAATTATTGACCAATTGGTACAGAAAACCAACCTTCTCCGGCCGTTATATTAACTTTTTCTCGAGCCATCCTTTAAATTACAAGATTAACACTATCATCAACCTAGTGGACCATGCAATTCTGCTATCGGATGAACAGTTTCACAGTTCCAACATTTCACTTGTTAAGGAGATCCTCACTAATAATGGCTTTCCAACACATTTAATTGACAACCAGATAAAAAAACGGCTCAACCAAATAAGACACGGAATCAAGTTACCGAATGACAAAGAAATTATGAAATTTGATCCAAAATTCTATATGACATTACCATACATTAAAGGTTTAAGTGAGAACATCGCCCACAAATTAAAAAAGTGCGGTCTCAATACTGTCTACACAATCCCAAAGAAACTCAACACTACCATAACGAAAGGAAAAGACAGATTAACCGACGAAAAAAGAACCGATGTAGTATATAGGATCCTTTGTGAGAGTTGTAACGCGAGCTACATAGGACAAACCAAACGACATTTGGCAACTCGTATAAAAGAACATTTGAACGACATCAAAAAAGACGTAGACAATCACTCTGTGGTAACTAAACATCGCACTAATTATGGCCACGATTTTCATTGGCAATCTCCTAGAATCTTACACAGTGAGAAACACAGGAGAAAAAGAGAGATCGCTGAAATGTTCTATATTAAAAAATTCGATGATACGATCAACCTACAGAAAGACACCGATAACCTTAACCCGATCTACGATAAGATAATCAACTCTGTTTAGCCTCTGTATTTTTATTTTCATGACTCTTAATTTATTTCTGAATATGTACGTAAATCTCTCCACGGTCAGTCTTTGATTAGCCTTCGCAACGAGAAGACATGCGATCCTCGTCTTGTCAAACGCTTACCATTACACTTATACGTGTTTAACTGTAAGTTTAAAACAATTTTCAAACTCTGCAAATACTAATTTAAGTAATTATGATTAGAGATTCGATGGCGTTCCAAACAAAATATTCTGCTTGAAAAGGGCCAAAACCCATGGCCGAAACGTTGTACGTTTAATTAATAAATTTGGCGGATTGGTCGACTCCAGCATTATCTCCTTCAAATTTTTACTTTCTTTTCACGTTTAGAGCCTTTTTAATTGCTAACATTCGTTTGTCAAATTTTTTTGCGCAAAAGACACGCGGTTGCGCACAAATTCCAAGTCGCTGAAGCTCCTTGTCGACATAATTGTTTAACGATCGTGATGCCACGAGACAGTCTTGATTGCCCTGCGGCTAATTCTCCCATCGAGACAATGACACATCTACAATGAATATTCAACGTGTCTGTAAATTCGCTGGTGTGTGCTGCATATGCATTATCAAGACTTGGTAGACAATAATAATTGACATGTCCGCGAGACTTGGAGGCTGTCGAAATCGCAGAATGCAAACCGACCAAATTGACGCAATGTTTGAAGCACGCCAGATCGACTCAAGATTTTCGTAGAAATCGTAGCGATAGAATAGGATAAAATCTCCTAGTGCTGCTATTATTTTAATGACACAAGTTCCTTCGCAAACTAAAGAATGGCACAACGTTCAAATGTTTCTTACGAAACCTGAGCGAGCTGTAGAAAGTAAGCGACTTCAATTTTATCCGTTTCCCTACCAAACGCAAGTGTGCGCGACTTAAAATTCGTATTTAAAAACGCTGTATAAAATTCGCACGTATGAACGGACGACACCGGAGCACGGAAAGAAGAGGGATTGCGAGGTAGTAATCTAGCGCCGTACTGATAGGTTTGTTAAAGGGCTCCGTCACGGCTGAACGGCCGCGTACTTTGCGCCGCCTGCGGAACGTCTACGGTCAGACCGCATGCGGGATGGGAACCGGCGGCGACGGCGGGGGCGGAGATCGTCTCGAGGACGGCGAGGTCGCCTTTCGGCTTACCGGTGACCGGGATCGCGACAGGGACGAGAAGTCTCTCAGCATAATGAGCCCCTTCGACGAGCAGGAGGAATGGGCAAAGATCTCGGAGATCATGGCGTCATTCGGAACTGGTCTTGTACGAGAGTCGGTGTTCGTCAGCGAGCTCGAGAAAGAATTCCAAACGAGACTAGGTAATCTTGCCGCCACTCTCTAAAAGTCACTCAGCGGATTATCACTGAAAACAGTGAACAGTCACTGATTTACGACTATAAGCCTACCACTGCAATTTCCAGTTTTCAGTGATAACTTTTAGAGAGCATGCACGCTCTTGCTTTCGATTTCGCCAGCGTTGATCTTGAGCGATTTCTCGATCGAAGTTTATATAAGGTGTAGTGCTACTCGCGAGCTATTTTTTTTTCGAGAAATTATTCAAAATCATTTTACTCTATTTCTTGCATAGCAGAAATATATTTCTTTCAACGTGACACGTGGTTTAGCATATTTTAATATATATTTAAGGCGAGTGATTACTGTGTCACGATGAAGTTATAGAAAAATATCTATTTCCTACATCTCAGGTTTAAGTTCGGACAGTAGTAGTCCCATCGTTTCCACGTCTGTGGGCCAATGGCTGTCCAACTTGGGTTTGGCGGATTACGAGTCACTCTTTGTTAACTACGGCTTCGACGATCTCGAGTTCATAGTGAGTATAGGACGCATCTCACGATTGCTATCGGGGGACACGCGGAAAATTGTATTTAATTGCGCGCGATTGCAGAACGGGGTGTTGGACGAGTCGGATTTGTGCGACATCGGGATCAGCAGCGATCAGGAACGGGCTATGATCATGGACGCGGTCGGTTTGCTGAACAAACGAGTGGAAAAGCGTAGCGGCGGTCACGGCCAATCGGTGGAGGAGTGGCTAAAGAGCATTCACATGGAAAATTATGCGGAGACATTCAGGAAGCACCTGTACACCGACATGGATCGAGTCAAACGGATCTGGGAGGTCGAGCTGGCGGCAGTCCTCGAGATCCAGAAGCCGGCGCATCGCAAACGCATCCTTGCGTCCGTGAGTGGTCCGAATAGCGCGCGCGCACAGACTCGAAACGGCACGGGAGCGAACTTGGAAGATTTGAATAAGGACCTCAACACGCTGGTGAGTGACAGATTAATTTGCAAATAATATCGTTATGCAAAATTAATTCCCCTTGCGGTAAATAAAACGTTCCACATAATATTCTTTGGGACACGCTATGCGCCTTTCCGTACGAATAATCGTCGGAGTCGGCACGAATGAAAATTACAGAAAGTAACGCTTATTTCATTGGAAAATATCGAGAAAAGAAACAGTTGAAAAATGGAACGTAGAAAATGACTTTTTTCGCTACCGACAAATTAAGTAGCAAAATTCGCCGGTCTTGCGAATCGATACATTGGCAGGATCGGTGAACGAGGATAATACGTTCAACGGGGGTGTCTGACAAGAGCGCACACTTCGCCGGTGAGGGTAGGATACAGCGAGAGCGGGCGGTGATGTGGCAAGCTCGATCACTTTCGACGTGCTTTCGCTCGATCGCGTCATAATGTAAATATCGTGGCTAATTGGAGGCCCGGCATTGTGATGCACGCGTATACATGTGTTTTCTCCGAGATGATCGTTCGAGCGCCTCTCGATGCTCTTTGTTCGGGCGCCTCCACCATGTCAAGCGTCGATAAGTACATCTCGCCGCTCACATATCCGCGCCTCCCCCACTCGTATTCTCTTAATTAGCTCATTAAATCCCGTAAACGTGTTCGGCGACTGGATTCGTTCGGCTCCCGTCATCCTCGCACTCGATAATCCCGACAAATTGGTCCCTTCTGCCTTGTCAGCCGGTCTCTTCCTCTCGTGATTTTTCGCAGCTATCGAACCCGACGAACCATAGTTTGACTCCGGCACTCTCGTTGGTAACGCCCGCGGATTTTCGTAGTCCATACGCTCCCCAACATTCGAATTTCACATGTTCCCCCTCTTTCTCTCTCCCCATCACTCTCGCGTTTTCATTCCACCTCCCTTTCATTCGAGTCTTCTGCAATTTGTCGCAATAGCGATACCCGGAATTATATGCAAAAGCCAGATGGAGCGAACGATTCGGGTTGTAATCCGAATTCGAGTGTCGCACCCGCCCGACTCGAATCCAATTTGTTTGCAATAGCTGAAATATCGCGACTATCGGCGCTACATGATGCAGCGTTTTGGCACAGCCGGTAAAAGGTTTCTTTCTGGTGTAACGGTTTACAACACAATACGTTTACGTAGGTAATTACACGTTGCACAAAGGAAACTCGGGACGAATTCGACTTGGTAATATGCCGTATGAAAGTTGGATAGGACAACATTTTTTTCTTTTTTTTTTACACTGCACATAGCCTAGCGTTTCGTTAAAGCTGGTTGGTCCAGCGGATTCTTGTCATGAGCTATAAAAAAATATCTGCCAGAGAAATTGCAACCTCGGGGCAAACATGGCAGTCTGTATTCGGAATTGCACGGAAATTGGTATTTATCTGTAAGAGGGAATGCGAAAACTCTGCTTTGGTATGCAATTTTTCGCAACGATTGCACGACAGACGGCAAATGCAAACAATTTGAATATTTTCGGCAATAATAACAAATTTGCCGAAGCATACATATCTGCACTTTCAAATATAGACGAAAATTTATTATTATTTGTAATGTATATGCGACTGTTGCGTCGCAATTCGCATTTAAAGCACGAGAGATTACGTATTCCGCGAACAGACGGCCTAAGCGGCGCGCATCAGTCCCGGGCAAATTCGGGATCGCCGGCCGGACGAACCGTTTGGACGACGCGAGGGGACACGGCTCTCAAATCTGGTTGCGCGATGTTATTTCCGCAGAAGACGAACATACAGCAGCTGAAGGAGGAGATACAGGAGAAATTGCCGGAAGCTACGGCGGAGGGTAACGGAGGCACGTCGATAACCAGTGGCACGAATTCGACGACCACGGGCACATTAAGGCACCGCAAAAACAGGCCGGCGCCTCAGCCACCCCAGCGACCCAGTTCGCATAATGGGGCGATTTCGGCGCCGGAACAGCTCGAGATCAGGGCTCCGTCCGAGCTGCTCTTCGGAGTGCCCTCCACTCTCAAGACACAATGGAGGCATCAGCCGAAGGCTCTAGTCACCGGCTGCGTCACGTACGTCGCTAACGTAAGTCCCGCTCGCTTACGTTGCCGCTCTGTCATCGCGTATTTCCGGGGGAAAAAAAACCATCTGCCTATTTATTTTCTAAACGTAACGAGTAACAATCACTTCTGATACTCGTTAAAGCCTATTTGAATGGCAAATTTTCTTCCACAACTATTGCATATATACGAGTTACGTCAAACTTTTTCGTCTTTCGCTATGATATAGTTTGTGCGCATGAGAAATCTTTTATTTAAAAAATATTGTTAACTTATTATCGGTACTTATTTTTGGCTGGGTTTTTTAAACCAATTGTGTGTAAGTTTACATAATTTCACCTGTCCAACGTTTTGTTGAACTTGTCTATTGTCTTATTCTGTTAATTATGTGTGACGGAGTGAATTATGACACTCGTTAAATTGCACCAAGGCCGATCGTAATTGTAGTTAATTCGTAGGATGCGTTAATAGGCTTCGTGCAGAAAATTGTGCTGTTAATTCCTCGGAATATTCCAATCCAAGAGAGAATCCATTTACATTCCGGAATTGTATTCAGAATACTTAAGTAGTAATTTCAGAACTCTTGTAGATATTCTGTAATTGCTGATGCTTGAAAACTTGGCCTAAATCGTTGGCTCTCGATTCTTAGGAAAAAAGCTCTTTCTGTTTATAAATAATATAGTATCTGGGCTCCACCGTCGTCAAGGAATTACGCGGCACCGAGTCGACGAAAAAGTCGATACAGAAGCTGAAGAAGACCTTTCGAGAACCTAGAATCACCCCTGACATTATGCTGGTCATCTCCTATCGTGGCGTTCGTTTTCTCAACACGTTAACTAATGTAAGGTTCTTTTTTGTCACAGCAAACATATGCGTAAGATGAAAATATAGAAAAGCATGTTCTTTACGACTGAGCTAATGTACTGTAGGAGCCAATTTGCGAGCACGAGATCCGTAACATTCACTGCGCCTGCCAAGATGCTGACGATCTTACGCACTTTGCGTACATCACGAAGGACCACGCCAGTCGCACGCACTTTTGTCACGTATTTTGCGTGCCAACGATGGTAAATATCTATTTTACGAAGCGAACTAAGGGAAAAGTCACACGAGCATTCAACTTTCTATTATTTTATTCGACTTTACGCTCGGACGTACGAAGCTCCGTCATTCCGTTACAGGATCAAGCGACGGAGGTCATCCTGACTCTGGGTCAGGCTTTCGAGGTAGCTTATCAAATGGCATTGAAGGATAAGCTTGGTGGCCACGCTATTCGATCCCAATCTGCCAATCAAATAGCAACGCTCGCCGGATCGTCAAAGTCAACGACTCCCGCCAAAATGTCCGTGTCCCCCGACTCCGCGTCCGATCCCACCGGCCGAGACACGGATCATGCCGTGACTCTCAATTCCACGTCGTGCGCGAATCCCAAGATGAAATCGAGATCGAAGTCCGTACCCAATCCGAATCTCCATACCGTTAATCCAAATCCGACACAGGACAGTAACTCCAACTCCAGCTCGACGACAACGACCACTGCGAACTGCAATCCGAGCTCGAATTCCGCCACGACCCCCAGCGCGAACTCGATCGGCAGCTCCAACCTGAACAGCACCACTAATCAGACCACTAAGCCTTTGGTCACCCACGGCCGTTCTCATTCCGTCAACGACATCAAGGTAAACGGTAATCAATTGAAGTTAGCACCAGCGCCGGTGGACGACATCGGTATCGGGGTGAAGGACATGAAGCCCGGCTCCAGAGCTCCGATCGTGCTCTCCGAGGAGTTGTAGGCTGCATTTTCCCTCGAAAATGCACGATATCGCGGTACACGATTGCGTAGCGTTCGCCACGACGAAACCGCGTCAACGCGAATGACAGAGAGATCTAGACACGACTGTTATGACGATTTTCCAATCTTTCGATCTAGAAACATATTTAATGGCATTTACAATGAACGTGGGATGGCAATATTTCGTCGTTACTCGTCAGAGTTTGCATAAAGAATTAAGCGGGGCATCAGTATAGACTCTCTCGCGATTTTAAGATTAATACCGATTGCAAAAATGCGGACGATATTCCCTCGATTGATTAATGGTATTAATCGGGATTACTGTAACTAGTATAGTTCCTTGACGCGTAAAAAGGAATTAATATCTTTTATTACATCTTTTTATGCGACTGGATTTGGCCATTACGTACGCCAACGGCGTATTTTCGATGGGGCGCATTCGTATATATATATATATATATTGTATATTCACCGCCGGAAGGCGAAAGCTTTTATGGGATTCAACTATTGTGGGATAACGAATGACACATGTATGGCCTCGAGAACGACGGAGGTAAGTAAGATCGTCGTTCCTCGCCACGTATCGCACCTTCGCAGATTGGCATTCGCGACTGACTCTACAATAATGACGCTGTGATCTTGATCTTGAACGCCATGCAGGACGCGCACTGGCCAAGATGATTCATCGAGACGAGCAAGCGATCGTTCACAGGCGCGCACTTCCGGCGGACAATGTGAAACGCATTAGATCTTTCTTCCTTAGGACGCGTCGTTAAAGTAAGCAGTATTATTACGTCATTAAACGGTAACGGGAGTGAGTTGAAATACGCTCGCCGCGATATTATTTAGCGAGGCGTGAAATCGCTACAATAATGTTGGATGTGCAATTCTCAATGTGCAGCTTTAATCTGGATAGGCTCGGCGGTTTCGATTTTCGCCCGGCGCGTATACGTGCCCGGGCGTTTATTTGTCTTGAAAATGCCATTTGTGGCATAGAACACGCTGACATTCGCCATCGGATCACGGGAAAAGAAAGGACACGAAAGGAAAAGGTACGGCGCGATAATAAGCGCGCCAATGCTCAATATCGATCCCTCGTAAACGTTAACGGTGACCAACGAATCCGTTCCGTATCCTCCCCCTCCCTCTCTCTCTTCGTGACTTCTCATTCCCTGTTCCCAAGTTCCGATTTCGAGTTGCCACCGTTTCCTCGACATTTTATTCTCCAAGACTGAGAGTCCGTATCTCATTTTATATTTCGCGACTTTAGTAATAATATTTAATATAGAAAAAAAAGAGGGACTAGAAGAGAGAAGAATTTTAATATATTTATCCGGCGAGAGCCTCGCGGACAGGAAGTACATGCGAACGTAGCATCGAATGCCTATCGAATTTTGTTTGATACTCGATTGCTACCCGTTGAGAAGCAGGAAATAAGAACGTGCGACCGCTTTCAAACGTATCACGATTGATCGCAATTCAGAGTATATTCACCATGCATCACCTCTAATTAGGAAGAAGCATTGTTAAGTGTCTTCTCCGTCTATGATCTAACCAGAGATACGATACAGAGAAGAATCGAGGTTGATCGGTTCACACGAATCCGGGCAGCATGGCATTATATCGATAACAACGTGCGTAACTTGGATACTCATCCATTTTTGCTACGCGCGGGGCCTAAAGGACCTGGGGTAGCTGCCTTGTGAAACTACCGATTTAACGATATATATATATATATCTGTCTCGTACAATCGACAACGTGTAAGGGAAAGAATCGCTACAGCGAAACGAAACTTTGTGTAGACTTAGAATACGTCCTCTTCGTATGTTCACTCATCTAAACCAAAGAAGTATAAATATAAATATGCATACATACATACACGCAGTCTGACACACACACTTATATCTTATATATGCGAAAGATGTTACGCGAAAGGACGGGGAAATTAACAGAATTTATCGAGCCATCGCGGGGGAAGAGAGACCGACAAACTGCCAAAACGATACACCATCGTCACCATCACCTCGATAGCAGTGCGCACACTTTGTATTTATCACATTTACAACGTAGCCCATTATGCATTAACGATTATAAGATATCTACGGAACAGCCATGGACATCGACGGCGGAGTAATCCTTCGCCGCGAAGTGTAACTAAGTATTCTACGCATTTGATGTATTCATGTTCTAGCAGCTATGTTTAGTGGGTAGTATCGGTAGGGAGCATGTTCTATCGATGTGTCGACAGGTACCATTTAACGATATATCGCGTAGAAACCGAGGAGGAGAAGCAGGTACGTAACGTGCAGAAGATAATGCGGTCAATGACGGCCGCACGATTGTTGCTTCTTTTTTTCTTCACAGCAGCGAGCAAATTCCACCGATTTGCCCGGCTGCGAGAATTCGTGCAGCGGAAACGCGCGAGCAATTGAAAATAGTGCCAATGCGTGAGCCCCATCGTGTACATTCTCGATTCGATCTCGCTGTTTGTCTTTCAGGAACATACACTGCAGGAAACAGAGAACAATAACTTCCCTTTTCCATTTTTGGATACGACACTTATACATTTATATGACTGACAAACGCACATATTTCTCGGTAACTCTGAGGGTTAAAGCACCGGCCAATACAGTAAGAAAGACATCTATTAATAAAAATAACGAGTATATTAGTAGACCGCTGTCTAATACTTGGATATTGCAAAATTAATACATAAAGCGCGTATATACACATTTGGACGGTGATTTACTCCTCGTATCGTCCTTTCTTTTATATGCGCGTAATTGTATCGATCCGGAAGACAAGGGTGAGATCAATATCGATCGCACTTTCGTTACCACGATGGGTTTGGAAAGATGTAAAGCGCAAATAGCACATAAAGAATCACGGACCAAGCAAGAACGAGCGAAAGCATTTTGCTCGTTATGGATCGTTGAGATATTAGTGGCAGTGTCTCGTCGCTGCGCTTTTTCACAAAGGTATGGAGTTTAACCTTGTGCCCGTTGCTACCGCGATAACGGCATAAGATTTATGCTGTCGATATTATATACAATTTTTAGAGTATGTGTACATATATACATTGTATATATAGAAATTACACGGACCACCGCGAATCAGTTTCTTCCATTGACATACCAAAGAGATTGTGTGATCCTTTCATCATTGTGATTTGTATATTTGATGATTACCGTATAGCGCATAGCGATTGTTCTTCATTATAATTCGTTAAAATAAAACTTCTTATGATTTTTATACAAAGTTATGTTTCACGACTGTATAATTGAATAATGAATGTTGCATAATTTTAACGGGATTAACGCTAGAATTATTATTAACAGTACAGCAATTTTTTTTTCAAGTTGATTAATTTTGTATGGACGTGGTGTTGTGTGTAATTACATAATCGAATGTATTTATCGCATGCACGTCAATCCTATAAACGTGAGAGTTTCGTTTGCTTTACTCCAATCAAATTTGCATAGCAAATGCGTTTTGACACGTCGTCGGTTAACTCCACAAAGGTCCTGGTAACAGTGCAATTCGCTAGTATGTATTTATATTCCCTTGAGTAGAACTTTAGATAAATAAATAGTATCGCAAGAATGGCATTCTAAAATTATATCATGACATCATAATTTATGAACTTATTATTTCTGTACATTTTTTGTTATTATTCATCGAAGGCTGGCAATAAAACATGATTTTTTTTGTTACGACGTTGTTATTTTATGTGTAATAAGGCCGAACATTGAAAAATGCGGATTATATTATACAATACAGATTTCGACAATAGCGGTTTAATTACATGCGTAAATGCGAATCGCTGTAAACTGATTCCGGTGGTAGCGTATCCGCAGTACTTTGTATGGTAAATAGAAAAAAAATCTGTGTACAGTTGTCGATATTACCTTCGTTCCGGCCGCGAGCGCGAATTCGTGCGCTTTTAAGGCCATAGTTGGATGCATTTCGCGGATCGTTACACGTGAAATGCAACTGTTCCTGATTTTCGCGCAAGCAAGGATATTAAAGCCGGGAGTTAATATTTCAGAGCACGAACTTCTGTACTTTTTAATATACGAACTCTCTATACGAGTTGATCTCTAGTCCCGGAAAGTTATTAATTCCGAAAAATGATATTCCCCGGTATTAATCCGCGTACCTGCGCCAGTGAGGGTTCGTGAAGCGAGATGAATGTGTAGAGTAATGCGCGCACAAAGATGCGGCGAAAAGAGCGGCATTCCTCGAGACAGACATGTTTTTACGTGCGAACGAACGCTAACTCTCCTTTGATTGTTCTCCGTCCGTGTTAATGCGGCCAGCTGAGAATCGCGATTTATACGCGCACAATTGACGACGCGTTATCGCGGACGAGTGCGCAATTAATTATCAACTTAGCTTAGATAATCGCGGACACGTGTATTCTCGTCCGGCGCGTCGCGTCCAATTTCGAACGGTATAAGGATTGAATTCAGACATAATTTTCGCGAGTTCATCTTTTCCTCCTGATGCCGTCAACACTTTGGAAAGCCACATTTCATCGGTTTCACTTCACTCCACCAGATTCCAACGATATATCGATCTTCTACACTTTTCAAATATACACGTAAAGAGATAGATTGAAAGACGGTGGATTTAGCGCTTTTAAGAATCGTATTCGTATCTTCGTTAATGTAACGTAATGCTGTTCGTTAGCTGGTTAGGTATCTCTTGCGACTATTTTCGTCGATTCTAATTCAGATCGTGATTACTCATACGTAGATTTTCCATTTCGAATTCCTCGATAAAGTCAGAGAGTCGAAAAGAAGTGCGCGCAAATTCGCCTCGAACGCGACCATCATTTTTTTCAGCGAGACTGGCAGCGGGTGCCAAACAAAAGAATTTTTCACTGCCGAAATAAATAATTACATTCGTTGGTAAGCGCTAATCATTCGTAATAATTTTTACGTTTCAGCTCTTCGTGCAATAATTTCGTTAGCCATAATTCGTACTAACTTTAAATTGGTACCTGTGAAAAAAAAGTGTCTGTCGCTTGCGTAAAATGAAAACACAATCTACCTATCTGTAATCACTTAAATCGTTGCACATATACATTGAAACGACTTTTTATTAGCGCCATTCTCTATTATAGTGCTAAGCTGTACCGTGTAAATTTCAGATCTCCTATAGAAATTCTTGTTAAAGAAATCAAGTGTGTTGCGACGGCTTGTGTATCCTCTACATCCAAGATTGCATTATAGAAATGCCGAGATGGTATAAAATTGAATTCTGTCGAAAGTAGATGAATAATTGGGCCAGAAGAACGAAATGTGAAAAATGAATCTTCATCTATACGCACGTGTGGAAGTGTATATAGCGGGAATAAATGTAAAATAAGCGAACCAGAAGCGATTTAAAAGTTGAAATGTCACGGCGCGAAATGCCGCGATCGCTGAAACGGAAGAGTAGACGAATCTGGTATCGAATGGTCACGCTTTTTCGAATATAGCGCGAATGAAGTATTCGAAAAAAAAAATTGGATATAACTCTGGTTTTTTCTGTCCCACGCACAGCGATATTTCCATAAAATATTGGTTCAAGTTAACTGAAATTTAAAAGATCTCTCTCTGTTTGGGCGCAGAATCAAAAAGAGACGAGGTGCAAGATAAAATCTCAGTTCTTTTAGCTCAATTATCTCAATTAAATCATTTTTATGGGAACAATCCGTATTGTGTAGTGCGCAATCTGTCAACACATGTGTATACGGAGTGTTCGTCGAACCTCACGAGTAGCTGTAATACTTGTGCGAAACGGCTGGATAGATAGTCGATATTTGTACGGATATATCGGATATATCTGTTAGAAGTAGAGGCAGCGAACATCGCTATCCTACGTTGCAGTCACGCCGCGCGCCAATGAAGGAAATAATCAGTTTTCCACGAGTCATCCGTTTATCGTTACGCAATAGCATTCGACAGCATTTGCGGCTATGGCGCAATCGTTTGCGAATCAAGATTTTGGCAATAACGCGAGTGTGAGTTTACGCTAAATACTTTTACAAAAAAAAAACATACCGATGTAATTGCAATCGTCGCTTAATTGCATTTATGTCACTTGTCGCTAAAGCGATCAATTCTTAGCGTAGTGGCGATAGATTTTTCTCGCCTTTTAACGGGCATAATTCGCTACTGTCTGGAAACAGGACAAAATTCTATACTTCTCTACCACGGGGAACATCACTATCGTGGCTTCACGGTACGCTGCAATTGATAGAGGAAGGTGGGAATGTGCGATAGAATGCAGGTTCACGTGTAAAATAGCGAAATATCATTTATAAAAACATACGAGTTTTGACACTAGCCATGTCCATTGAATGATTTGTACTTGTACCATGGAGGAACGCGCAGATAAAACTTAAAAACGCCACACATAAAACATATAACGAGTACATTCCTACTTTCCCCTTCATAATAGGTGTTAAAGCGCTAACAATGATCGATCTCGGGATATTTACGATTCTATGATGTGGCAGGGAATAGTGGCTTGATCGTTGCGTATTCTGAAGATTCGCGGTGGAACAATAAAGAGGCGATTGTGCTCGCTAATCGTAGGACCGTGCGATATGCGAAACCGACGCGACGTCGGTTCTCCTCGACGTCGACCCGGCGAAGTCGCAGGCTCTCAGACACTGGCGGACAGGGGTGAATAGGATATTCGTCGGGAAAACTTCGCGCTATGAATATTTATGTACGCTTTACGATCTCGCACGCGCGCGCGCACACTCGAGAGGTCCCGGCGAGTCGGCGACGGGTCGAGGACATAGGATTTGTGCGGTCGAGTGTAAGTACGTACTCAAATATATAGAGAAAGAGAGAGAGAGAGAGAGAGAGCGAGTATGAGAGCGAAAGAGAGAACGAGAAAGAGAGAGAGAGAGAGAGAGAGAGAGAGAGAGAAAGAGAGAGAAGAAAAAGACACAGGAACGGTCGGTGTCTTTTGAAATCAAAAGGAACAAATCCGTACGGAACTGTTGCCGAGAATGCCATATAATAAATGCGCTATTTTATACCGAGCAGCCTGATTAGACGCAAACTGCCCCTCCCCCCTACGTTCTTGTATACATTATATTTATTATTGTTCATGTTTACTAGAATGATATATATATGAGAGAGATTATTCCCTGGATATCTATAACGCCTTGAAGAAAATAAAACAGATACTTTGCGGGACATCGTTGTGTGTTGATTTGCGCCTGGACCAGCGGCTTCCACCCCTCCCGATCTACTCCCGGCTGACCTACTTTAAATCCGATTAAGTCGATTCATTTAAACGTTCATCTATTCGATTACGACATTGTCTTTCGGTAAATTTACTTGTTGTGTATTAAGGAAATTAATTTACAATTCTTGCTAATGAACATAGGGACGACGTTTATTCTTTAGAGTTTAGAGAATGTAGTCGCACCACGGGCGATCCTAACTTCCTCCGAATGAAATTGGCATTGTTAGTCGCCGAATCGATAATGCAGCTTGTACTTTGTATAATTTCTTCCTTCCTTTTCCGACCGACGGAACCGGTCCGCAAGGTAAGCAGGCAGTTCGGTAAAGATGCTAATTAACCAAGTTTCACAGTCTTAACAAAGTTTTTCGATTAGCCAGTAAATTGTTATACGATGCGGGCCTCTCTTGCCGTGGCGGCGGGCAGGCTTGCCTATTATCTTCCCAAACAAACCTAAAATCGTACCGGTGAAACGCAGCAAAATAATAGGAAGCCCGGAAGTTTCGTCGTTAAAATTTGTCGGGAAAGTGCTGAGAATCAATTGGCAAGCCGGCTACGTCTTCAGAAAGTTAGTCCGCACAAGTCTTGACACCTGAGACAGCGGAACTTCCCGTGGCTTTCATCGGGAACGCAATTACAAACCGTGGAGTAAAAACCCTGGGATTTTCTTGGGCTACAACAATTGCGCCGGGAAGACTCGACTTTAGAAATATTATTTTAAAAGATCACCCAATGAAGCAACGAAATACATATAATAATGCAAAAATCTCGGAAGAGTTTATATAAAAATTTACATAGGCCGCACGGGGGGGGGGGGGGCAAGAGCAAAAGAGGGAAAATATTAGAAAGGAATTCTGAAAGGGAAAAAGGAGGGAAAATGTTGGGAAAATTCCCTCCGGGGATATTTCCATGTCATTATCGCGCGATATAAAGAAAAAGGAGTTCGTATAGTCGAAATAAGGGCGCATGGCGATATAATTTGCGGGATTTCGGTTTGACAAATCGTTTTCGTAACGAACCCAGCGATATTACAGCGCGCGTTCCTCATCCTTGACTTTCGTCCCGCTTATCACCGCGATCTGACACATCTCTCTCCGGCTGTCGGAACCACCCCCGCGCTCTCGAGCAAGCACCCCTGGCTACGGGGCGGAACAAAAGAAATAAACGAACACGCGGTGTGTGCGTGACGTTGTTATATGTATACGCAGGTGCGTGCAAACAAGCGCGTGACGGCTTCGATGCGCAACTCGGTCGAGGGGGGAAATCCCGAAAATCCTGAATCCGCGAAGGACGACGTGCCTGGCAAGAGCAAATCGTCAATTTCGGTGACGAGATCGCGCTCTACTCCGTCGACAGGCCTATTCTTTCGACAAATCGTGACTCTCTCCCTTTTTCGATCCCACATCCTCGCTTCTTTCGTCCTGCGAACGATCCAATTTCGAGGAACTGCCATCGCCTCGCTGTACCATCGATCATCTCACCATCTCGACCGCAATGCCACTGAATCCTCGGATTTTTTTTATCATCAATTAAGAATCTGGTCTTAATTGTTCACATCGTACAACGCACGAAATAGAATAACGTTTAGTAATAATGTTAGAATGCGTCTACCGACGCAATCAATCCTGGTGATCAAAGTTAAGTGTCTAATAATTACAATACATTCAGTACAAATATTAACGTATTAATTTTTCTTGCGTGATAAAGTTGAAGAATCGGGAATATTTGCTTGACTGACGTGAAAAAAATGTCGGCGCTTACGAGCGTGTCACACGAGTCACTGCCCCGAAAGTTTCCCGAAAGACGAGCGGAAAGCGGAGCGGAGAGCCTGGGCGAGACGAGAGAGCGTGGGCTGTGCAAATTAATTAACGCGCCCGTCGCGGCCTTGCCCGACCCGGGCTTGCTCCGATGGAGCGTAAAAAGGTCATCGGGCACGAGTTATATGTCAATCCTTACGGATCCGCGGCAAGGCGTAATATACGCAGTGGCGGCGGATAAAACGAATGGGATCCACGACGGTGGCGCGAGCCGCGATACGTTATCTGCCGCGAGAGGGGCTCGGGCCCCTCTGTCCGTCTGCCCCGCCTCGCCTCAGTGGTCCCAGGTCAATGCGAGGGAGATATATCCAGGAGGTCAGATAAATTTGCCCCGGATTACGCGCCCGTCACTTTCATATTCATTGAAATACTTCACTCGAACGAGCGACCGTATTTTTCCTATCGGACCGCCCGGCCACGCGCCCTCGACCTCTCGCTTTCTTCTCGTTTATTTCGCCCGCCGGCGGAACAGCTATTCGCCGATAAGGGCAAAAAACGCGTGCGTTAATACGCAAACTATAGACCGTTCGAAAATGACCGTAATGTCAGAATTGAAAATAATTACGTCAGCTCCTCTCGACCAGCCAGTCCGTCCACTTAAATATGCAAAAATACTCGGTTCATTCTATTTGCGATATTTTCTTTAATTAATAAATTGGCATTACAACGCGCCATGTACATTGGATAAATGTATTCCACAGGAAGTAGAAAGGCAGGTGCGTTTACCGATTCTTGCAATCAAGACGAAAGTCTGTAATAATAGACCGTTACAGTTGCAACGTTTCACAAAACGTCTCATCAAAAGTTACTTTCTACAAATCCCTATTTTAGTCGCAAGTTTCCGGAGGCGATGCCATTCGGTCTCTGCGACAATATTTACGTAGGATACATATCGTTTCCTCGACGTTAATTCCACAGAGATCCTGTATTCGATTTTCGAATTGTCGTTTGACGAGGTTTCCGAAATTTTCGCAACGTCACTGTCACATGTAACGTACCCGGTGGTTAAAGAACTGTTACGTCACATATACGTAAATACGATGAAAAAAGCAATTATTCGCCGCAGTAACTCTTTGGGCGTATCCTTTTATTATAACAGCGACGACGCGTATCTCCCGCCCGAGCGTGACGAATGCTTGTACAAACTCCGAGACAAACGGTACGTGGCCAGATTTGTTACGTGTCACCGCGATGAATCGGCATTGTGTCGCGCTGCCACGTGGCCGAAAAAAAAAGGTCGAATTATGTTTTTCACCGTGCACACGCAAGAAAGAAAGAGGGGAGGGGGGAGAGGGAGAGAAAGAGAGAAAGAGAGAAAGCAAGGGAGAAAAGTGGAAGATGACCTTACCCGAACGAGATTGTCGAGATGCAGGGGAGGGTATCCGGCGAGAAAACATCCGCCGGGATCTACGGGATCGGCAAAGAGTGGTCCTCGACGACGAGGACACTCGGGGTACGCGCCTGCACAGAAACGTCAGTCAGGCTTAGGACGGGGATCTAGATGTTATCTAAGAGACGCGGCGCACGGTTGTGCACATAACAGGGACGCGGCGCGACGCAACGCACACACGACGCGAGTACACGGATGTGTGTACTCGTACACGGTACGTATACACCGTTAACTAATTATTCCGCATCTCGAGCGCGGAATCGAAAGAACGGCGTCGAACTGCACTCGACTTTCGACCGCGCGTGCGAATCGAGCGTGGCCCGGGCGGGCCCGATCGGTCTTCCGCGCCGGTGACCACGATGAAAGTAAATCTTCCGGGATAACGGTGACCCGCGACCTGGACGACGGGGCTAAAGGCGCGCCTCCGGGTAAGTAATTGGATTTCACGGCAAAAAGTGGCTGAATTCTTTACCGTCGATATTTCATTATTAAAATGGAATTACAGCGAACACTTTATTTCTCCCGCGCAACACACAGTCGCTTCTGGATAAATTGTGCTATCTTATAATCTGCTTATTAGGATCACGGGTATGCGGGAATCCTCGCAGCACTTGGACCAGACGAGATATTATTCGCTTAGCGTATTTCGATTTTTCACATTTTAATAACAAAAAGACTACATTATAAAATATAAGATAAAAGTTCGATTAATCTCATTATCGATAGCATCGACTTTATCTTTACTATCGTATACCTTTAAAAATCAGAGATCTAATCTCGCGTGTTTAACTTGTCCCGCGACTGAAAGATGTGCGATCGAATCGAAATATTATCCGTAAAATTTTCTTGGCGATGAATAGATTGGTAAAATCGTATTGTATATTTTTCAATAAAATTACGTGGAATCGAGTATTAATTTTAATTTAATTGAAACGTCGATGTTTGATATTAACAGCGCGGTGTGTACAATGTTTGGTGATGGATTTAGCATCGCTTTGCTATTTAGTTTGCACGTATTAGCTGTCCGTATGTATCCGTCATAGAGGCCCCCGGAGAGTGGTTACTGACCTTGTTTTCATTAATGAAGCAATATAGGCAAGCGGCTGTTCAACGATGTGAAAACGCGTTACAAACGTCCTAATAACGCTTTACGAATCCGGTTATCGTCACTTGATCGTTGAGATTAGTTTCTGAAATATTGTTAGCCAGTCGCTTATGAATATTACTTTCGTATAGCTAATTGCTTACCGACGATACTCATATTGCTAATTGTACCAAACCGCTACTTTGCAAAGTTCGTCCAATATTTGAGAAGCAAACAATTATCGAATCGAGCTTTCAATACATACAATACATTTTTATACTGAGAAAAAATTATGAATACACCCGATGAAATGCAGTTATCGTTGAAACTTGATTGAAAAACCGATCACATTGTTCATCGGATATACAATTCGATCGGATGTATCCGTTTGTTACTATGTAATTGGATTATCCCATTATATTTAATCGGACATTTTACCCGGTGTACGTATTACTGAGCACAAATGAAACAAGACGCTAATTCTTTGACATCCTCTTTTTTTTAGCTACGTATCCAACGCACGTTAAAACAATCGTCATCACCGCTGATATTGACACTCGCCGGTTAGGCTTGACGCAGGAATTGCGCTTTCCGTGTGACGGCCACCTGCATACGCCATATTGGCAGTATTCCTCTCGGTTTCGCTCCTGGTTTCATCCT